GCATGGAATCCTACAAGTCCGGTGACATGCAGCTCAGGGTAAGCTCTCAACTTTTTTCCCGTCATGTTCTTTCTCAGCTAACTCATATCATAGACTCGATGGGGTGTGGGATTCGGTCCTCGTGACTGCAGCGATTACCAAACAGGCATCAGTGTGATTCCGATTGAAAGACTAACGGAGGCTGATCGGAAATGGATGCTCACCGCCGAATATGGCGGCACTGGCGGAAGGACCATCGAGTCCGGAATGGTCGTCGAGGAGCCCGACATTGAGATTGGCGCTGGTGTATCCTCCAAAGGTTTGTTAGCACCAAGTCTATTTAAAGCTTGTTTTTTGTTTACCATGAAGCTAATGATCTGCAACAGCTATCAGCAGAAGGATTGCTACCGACACTGGCGGCAAGCGTGGACCTGTCTCTTCCCGCACGCAGCAGGACCGATTCCGTCGGCCGGAGCGCGATGGACCTGCCAACGGGATGGGCATGGGTGGCTCGGTGGAGCGCGAGATACCTAATGCCAACAATGTCGGTGTCCCGCCTGCAGTGCCTGGCTTCGGCTTCTCATTCCCCGGCATGCCCATGTTCCCTCCCGGCTTTATGATGGGAGGAGCACAAGCTGGATCTGGCGGTGCGGCACAGCCGCCTCCTCCAGGCCAAGGAAGCAATTAGCTATGAAGCATGCTATTCCAACGACGATTAGCCCCTGCTCTCCATCATCTCGTTCTTCCCTTGTTTTGATACCACTATTTTCTCTTCGTCTCTTCTTCCCATTTGTCTCTCTATCTCTTTTCTCCTACTTTCTACTCTGCAACGTTCTCATGTAAATCTGTTTCCGCACACCCCCAAAAATAATCGGCGTTGGCGCTTTCGTATTCATTGTTCAGCGGAAGGCATACGCTTTATGAGTGGGCGTTCTCAAGGCGGGTCAAGAGCACGGCATCTCCCATGTGGCTCCACAATGTATCCCCCCTATGTCTTTGTTGCTTCAATTCTTCGCATAAACAGACGTCTCGACACACAGCGCTTGTTGGAGAAGTGAGTGGACCGAAGTTCGCTGGCTCGAACACTTACTGAACCATTCAGCGTCTAAGTTTACCTGATCTGTTTTTCTTCTACCTTTTTTTTTTTTTTTTTGCTTCTTGTCTTCTCTATCTACCTGTATTCGCAACCCGCTCATCTCTACCCGGGAAAGGGTGGCTCTTGTGATGTGATGTATTACATTTTCCATGTTTTCCTCCTTGCGCTTTTCCTTCTATTAAACGAATTGCTAGTTGGCTGATAACCGCTTCTCGTGTGTCTCTTCTGCACCTGCGTTTCCAACTCTTTTCCTTCTTCGCTTCCTGTGCATAATTGACCTCCCACTTATTTACCTGAATTCATAAGTTCTGAGATCGGATCTATCGCTTTTCTTGTATAATATCGTAGGCATCAACGTTCTTGGGCACTTGGTACGCGCTGCTCGCTGCTTCTGTAGTCATTTGGGAAGCAAAATTACGAGCTAGTATATGATGAATGGTCGCTACGTATTAGATGCTGGGTTCTTATCTTACCCATCCAGTGTCTGCTTGCCCGTAGTCTATAACTCAGCCTTGTAGTAAACTGTGATGCAGGCGCTCCATCTAGACATTGTCTTTTTCCTTTACTATCTTGATTTGAGTATTTCATTGGAAATCTACGAAGGGCCTGCTCGCTATTGAAAACCAGATGCTTCATATTGGTATCATCTCGATATCGTCAGAATAGTACGTGAAAGTGTCTGTTCCCGCCTGTGCAATGGGATTTCTCAGTGCCTGCCCATGCGCGTTGTCGCTTAGGGGTCTGCGTTCTGGTGTCTGATTCGACCCAATCCCCAAGTCCCTATGAAATAAGCGCAGAACCAGCCACTGCCTCCCCAGCCTGACTTCAAGAGTTCAAATTTTCACCAGTGAAAGCACAGTTCATAGAGCACTAGCAGCCTTGAACGACTGCTCAAAGTCGGCAATGATATCATCGATATGCTCAGTACCCACCGAGATGCGGATTCCATCCTCAGTGACTCCAGAGTCAATGCGTTCCTGCACGGTAAGCTGTTCATGAGTCGTGGACCAAGGGTGAATAGCGAGGGTCTTCATATCCCCAACACTGTAGAAGACATGATTAGCAGCCGAAGCTTTCAGATGAGTCCAGCCCCCACCGCAGATGGACTTACTTTGCGAGATTACTGATCAGCTTAAAGCCGTCAACCACTTGACTGCCAGCGGCAGCACCTCCCTTGACCCCAAAAGAAAGAACGCCACCAAAGCCATGCTTGAGATAGCGCTTCGCCGTCTCATGGCTCGGGTGGTCCTCCAATCCTGGGTATGAGACCCAAGAGACGTTTTCATTCTTGCGAAGCCAATTGGCCAGTATTATAGCATTGCTTGCATGTCTCTCGGCACGTAAACTCAAGGTCTCGATGCCGAGGAGAAGCTGTTGCGCAGCAAAAGGGTTCAGAGCTGATCCAAGATCTCTCAATATCTCCACTCGCACCCGAATGGCAAAAGCAAGGGGACCAAAGGTTTCCCAGAACTTCAAGCCATGGTAGCCTTCGGAAGGTTCAACAAATTGTGGGAAGCGTGCTGCATTCTTTCCCCAGTCAAACTTTCCACTGTCAACAACTACACCAGCAACAGTGGTGCCGTGACCTCCAATCCACTTGGTGGCGCTGTGTACAATAATGTCGGCGCCGTGCTCAATGGGACGGCAATAATAGCCGCCGGCGCCGAATGTATTGTCGACCTATATAGCACCCTAATATAAGTTGCAAATCCTCTTGACGAATTTATACGAGGGCCCTAAAATATACACTTACCACTAGGGGCACGCCCTTTTCGTGGGCTACCTTGGCGATGGCTTCGAAATCGGGTACATTATAGCGGGGGTTCCCGATAGTTTCAACGTAAACAGCCTTCGTACGGTCGTCAATGGCTGCAGCTATGGCCTCCGGGCTGTCTCCCTGGACGAACTTGGTTGTAATTCCCAATCGAGGGAATAAAACTTTGAATTGGTTATAAGTGCCACCGTACAGGTTACTGGTGGACACGATATTATCGCCAGCATGGGCAAGGGCAGATATGGCCATGAACTGCGCAGATTGACCCGAAGAGGCGGCGACGGCTGCGACACCACCTTCAAGGGCAGCGATACGTTTCTCGAAGACATCTACAGTGGGCTGTTTATTTCTTCTAGGTTAGTTGATACTAGAACTAGCAATTGATGCAATGCTTATGAGGGGAGTAAAGACTAGACTCACGTTCATAATCCGACTATAGATGTTGCCAAACTCTTTGAGACCAAAGAGTCTGGCGCCATGTGCGGAGTCATTGAAGGTGTAGGACTAACAGAGACCTGATCAGAATCGACTGCACATGATACCAGATCTTGAAGATATTGGCTTACCGTGGTTGCATAAATTGGTACTGCTCGCGAATGGGTCTCAGAATCTGGTTCATGACTTGATAGAGAAATGTCAGGGCGAGGATCTGGTGTGACAGGTCGATGGAGGGGTCGGTATGCACATACCCCGCATGAAGCTGTAAAGTTTCGAAATGGGGCTGCTTAGATTCGGACATGTTGCTGCTATTCAATGGGACGCTATCCTTCAGCTTGTATACTCTCAAGTAAACCAAGGATTAAACAGGGAGGACAATGAGGGGACAAATTGGCTGAGGTGGGAGAAGGTGGGAGAAGTATAATGGGAACAGGTAGTGACATGGAAACGACACATGCTCGCATTGTGGTAGATCTACCGACGACTAAGCAATTGGCGACGACGATGGCGTGATTCGATGGAGCAAGAACAAAGGAGGAAAAGAGAAAAGGCGGTGGAGGCGACGAATCCCAGCCATTTAGTATCTAGTAGTACTCGGTCCTGATCAGATGCGCCATGGTACTAGTAGTCTGGATGGTCCTAAGTTCTGCTCCTGCATGTCTATCTAGTAAATACTAACATGCAATCAATATAGTATCTTGATTTCACATGGAGTACGACTTTGTATAGTGGGATCTCCTATAGTATTTATTAAGAGTGTATACACTCTCACTTGGCTCATCCGGGCGCTAAAAGCGAAAGGCCCACATATTGAACCGGTCGTGCCTGATTTCTCCGCCCCAAAATCTTTCCAACAACTGCATGCAGGCTCAGTCAATCTGCCCTGTGGACATAGCTATCTACTTACTACCTATAGATCGATTCCTGGGAGGGGAAATTGTACCTTGTATATTACTTAAAATTTTATAATATTGGGCCCAGGACGATGATATAAATGGATACATTGTACAAGAATCTTAGTATTTGCGTCATTTTTAACAACACAGCCAACGCGGGGGATCTCCGTCTCCTAGCCCTCATATACACTATACTAGCACTAATCATGGTACGTAGTTGCTGCCTATAAGTCCTTGCAACTAATGGAGGGAATGTGCAATCGGCATCATGTTTTTAGCCCTCAGGGTCCAGGTGGCATCCCTTGGCAGTGTCTAGTTAGTTAGTGCCACTAACTCACTAGGCAGACATCTCAGCCCTGTTTGACACAGTACAAACCAACTTTTTATGTTAGTTTATTATTTTTCCCTCTTACTATTTCTTACTATTTCAAAAAGTATCTTATGAGATCATCGCCTGCTTGGCCTTTTTCACTAGTCACCAATCCTAGCAAGTCGTTGGACCGAGGCACTCGCGGCCAGAGAGGCAGCCCGTCCCGTTCATCCCAGCATTGCAGGCAGATTCACAAGCTCACTGAGTTTCCTCATATTTTAGCTTCGTTATAGCGTCGGGATCTGCGACTGATGCTGCAGGCGCCGCGAATCAAAAAGTTTCAATACGAGATGGCCCTCCGAATAATGACGGTATCGTCTTTCCAGGTAATTCTGCTGTGTACTTAAGTACACTACTTGGCTTGGATGGGCAGGCAGCTCCGAATCTCCCCAGCCCAACTGGCGGTCTGAGAGATTCGTTGGACTCTTGTTACTGCGCCACAAAGTCGCCTAATCAAGATTGAAAAACATAAGTCTTCGGCCTGCATGTGTGTGCGTGCGTGTGTGCATTATCGCTGGTTCTTTCAAACGTTGAAGAAGGGACAGAAATAGCACAAGTCAAGCAAGGTACCTAGAAAGGTCAGTCACTGCCTGTTCGTCAGCCCACTCACACCCACGTCACAGCCTTAAGCGCACACTGGCTTGAGAAATTGAAACAGCGTCCGCCTGTGCAACAGCATGTGACTTGCCATCGTTCAGGTGCTATGCGCTCATAATAGTTCTCTCCGTCCAACGTATATGAAGATCATTCCTGCCCTCCACACCATTCGTTTTTCTAAGCGTCAACTAACCCACATACTACTCAGAAAGAGCTGCAGTGCCGCGCAGACCCAGAGTAGTAGACAGGACATCTACCAGCATCCATCATCAACGCGAGCTCCCCAATATCAATCATGGCTGTGAATTTTCCATGGATCTACCCTGTTCGGGTAATCCAGGCCCTCTTCGGAATAATCGTCCTTGCTTTAACCGCATACTGTTCGTCGAGTCATTCCATCCCATTTCAGAAGTAAATAGCTGACAGATGACAGACATCAGTTGGTTCGTGTATAGTAGCGACTCGCCCAATTTCATGCTTTTCGTGGCGTGCTGGACAGCCTTCCTCGCAACTCCTTATCTTGCCTTGGCGCCGGTGTTCTTCCCCCAGTTTGCGCATCGCATCGTCATCCCAGCTGTCGAAATGATTACCATGATATTCTGGTTCGCAGGATTCATCGCCCTAGCCGTATTCCTCCCACCAACAGAAGCCTGTCACTGGAGCCGTTGCAGTGCGTTACAGGCCGCAGTTGTGTTTGGTGCATTCGAGTGGTATGACTTCCCTCTGATCAAGATTGCCAGCTTCAGCGCTCTGGCAGAAATATTCCGCAGTGTATAGCGGGATCTGAAGGATGTAGTTGATGTGCATTGTTGCTAACATGAATCACGTAGGGTACTATTTCTGGTTACTTCCGTTTTCGCTGTCCTCGGCATCTCGCGTACCCGGTCCAGCTCCAGTACGAAGCCCACCCCTAACGATCATACCCACGTTGGCGTCTAAATGGAGTCGATAGTGACGGTTCCATGATACATTTTCGAAATGAAAGGTAGAGCGACTATTCGGCTAGCAGCGGAGGAAGCCCTGAATCAGCCGGTAGTATGATAATGACGTCATTGTTATGAACAACTACTACGTCGCCAGTGATTCAGGGACAGCGAGGTTGGCGACGGTAATGACAATGATGATTTGGGATACTCGGAAGGATAAAAGGATATGGTTTAAGCAGCTGACTACAGTCGCGCTTTATGTTATCGATCGTTGACTGCTTTGTTCTGGTTTCGGCAGGATACCCATGTGTTACTAGTTACTAGGAGATTTTGGTCGACATATGATACCACTTAGTCCTAGGACCCCTTGAAATGTGTTTCAATAAGCCATAGTATTCTTCGGTTCCTTTAACCTCCAAAAGGCCAAGACTGAAATGCGTTTGGGGATTGATGTGATCTGATGTACAATCTTGAGGAGAGAGCGGCCATGACTGTCAAAGGCAAAGAAAAGTACCACGGAAAAGAGGCCGCGCGACAGGCATAAAAACCAGATATGCCGCCGTGATAGCTTACTGGATGAATGGGTTGAGGGTTCTCCATCTATTAGCAAATCAGCTTTGCTTACATTCGATCCACTGAAAAAAACCCACAAGCACGTCGAAAAAGTGATAAGCTTTTTAGTGAACTACAGCGTGTCACTTTGTACTGTCATTGAATCATTGAGACACTATCAGCGGATGACAGGGATTGGCATTCGCACGGATGATTCAGTTGTTGGATCATGCAATTGATCAATGAAATCATGAGTAAGAACGGATCATAATAGAGATAGATGCAGATGAAAAATCTATCTACGTGATCATCTGGATACACGATGCTGGTACATTAGATAGATACGAAAATTGAAAGACCAAAGAACAGATGAGGGAAAGCCGTCTTGAACGAGCAGCTCCATAGAATGTTTCGAAGCTTCGACAAAATTATCTAGTCTCCGGCAAATGTGCCAATGAACTATTCGGGATCCGAGGGAGACTGGGACGGGTCCGTGGTTCGACTTGCTGCACCGCGAATATCCGTCCGCTCAACGTTCCAGAAAGAAATTCAGGAAAGGGAAAATTCTGCAACGGAGTAGGGCTGGCCGACTACTCGGATCTCGCCGATTGGCTTTGGAACTATTTTAGCAGACGTGTCCCCGGGCTCTAGTAAATGAGGAGAAGTTGGGAAGGAAAAAGAAGGTGAGTGGTGGATAATGATAGTCCATTGGTTAGTGGAGTTGACAACCGTTTAAGCTGGAGAGCGCATCAGGCCGGGTACAGATTTTTTTTTTTTGTATATCCATGTTGGAATCCAAGGTAGGCTCAAGAAGGCGGCAGTAACAACCAACCACCTCTCAATTGCCTTTTAGGATTACTATCCTGCCGAGATATCGTTAGTATGAATTTTTCTTGCCACCACGCGACGTCGTGAGAGGAGCAGGCGTGTTAAAAGTTTCCGACTTACGAGAGAAAAACTCTGTCTCCGCCCAAGGAAGGCCTATCTCGCGACCCACCATCCAGCACCGTCGCTGCTGGGCCAGCTGGAACACGCACTCATTCGCCGAACCTTTTCCAAGTTTCCAGAATTGCCCGCTGTCGATGGAGAAGGAATCCACGTTGAGGAGGTTTTAGTGCGTACAAGTGGCACGCACAATCCATAGTAGCAGCCTCTTGCTAGACTCCAGAGAGGTATGTAACTACCCCATTATTGTGTAGGAGACAAGTCAACCCAATTGAAGAAGGAAAGCACAAGACAACCCGATAAGACATTGCGGGAGAGCATGGCCATGACCAACGTGCATGATTTCAATAAACTCAATAAACTCGTGGTCTTGTCTGGGGGAAAAGCAGACTTCGACCCAAAGGAGAATGTCTGCGCGAGGTTGCATCCGGCGGTGCTCAACCCCCATTCCCACCCCCTCATCTTGACTGTTCCTTTTACCTAAAGATTTTCAGTCTTGGAACATAATTCGATTAGATTCACTATCATCATCATTCGTTGCCTCTCTTATCAGCGGGCAAAGATGGCCAGTTGACAAGGCACCATACATAATCTCTCGACGTGCATATGCATCCCCAGCCGTGTTGGTCGTACCTTAAAATCGCAGGTGGATGCGATTCATCTCTAGCGGATTTCGGAGAGGCGACACGCAGAACCCGCTTATAAGGAGGAGCTCGACGACTGGACGGTTCCGAGTTTTGGTGACTCAATCGAACCGTGTTCCCGGTGGAGACGGTCCTGGCGGCGAGCTTCCTTTTTCCTTCTTTTTCGCGATTTTGACTTTTGTGACTTCTCTTCCGTCACTATCATACACACTGTACGTCTGACGCTCTAACCTTGAGGATATCAGCATCCTCAAATTTTGGGGCCGTTGAGGGTCTAACATGGCCTTCGGGAACAAGGTCAAATCCACGTCTGCCGAGGGGGAAAAGGGCAAGATGGCGCCTGAAGAGACTGTCCAGGTTCAGCCCACGAACCCTTCGTCCGACTTGAACGACATCGACTGTGAGAAACATGGCGCCAGTCGCGAGTCGAATCCCATGCCCGATCTCAAGCGAAAGCTGAGAAGTCGCCATCTTCAGATGATTGCCATTGGTGAGTCCTGTTGGCTGTCTTGGGGGTCATTTCCCTTTCTGCTTCTGCCACAAGACAGGCGGCCATTCCGGAAAGTGACAACCTGCTCATTCAATTCCTAGGTGGTACCATCGGCACCGGTCTGTTCATTGGTAGTGGTACTGCTGTTGCCAATGGAGGTCCTGTTGGTGCCCTCATCGCCTACATCTTCGTCGGTACGATCGTCTACTCTGTTATGACCTCTCTGGGTGAAATTGCGACCTATATTCCGATTCCTGGAGCGTTCACGGCCTACGCTGCTCGTCTGGTGGACCCCAGTCTTGGCTTCGCTATGGGGTGGATCTATTGGTTTTCCTGGGCTAGTACATTTGCACTCGAGTTAACGGCAACCGGTCTGATCATTCAATTTTGGGACGACTCCATCAATATCGCTATCTTTATCGCCATCTTTTGGGTTCTGATCACCCTATTGAACTTCCTGCCTGTCAGCTTTTACGGTGAATTGGAGTTTTGGCTTTCAAGCGTCAAAGTCATCACCGTTGTTGGGTTCATGATCTTCGCCATCTGCATTGACGCCGGCGTCGGTGACGAAGGGTATCTCGGATTTCGCTATTGGGTTCACCCGGGTCCCTTTGCTCCTTATTCAGGTGTCCACCCTGACTCGACGGCAAAGTTCGTCGGTTTTTGGTCTGTCCTTATCCAGGCTGGCTTCTCGTATCAGGGAACAGAACTGGTCGGTATCGCAGCCGCTGAGACAGAAAACCCTCGCAAAACGGTGCCTGCGGCTATTCGCAAGACCTTCTATCGCATTCTGTTCTTCTTCGTCCTGACCATCTTCTTCATCGGTCTTCTGGTGCCCTACACCAACGAGAACCTCCTGACCGATGGAAACGATGCCAACTCGTCGCCTTTTGTCATTGCGGCCAGGCTTGCTGGAGTCAAGGTTCTGCCTCACATTATTAACGGAGTCCTGCTTACTGTGGTGCTCTCTGCCGCCAATTCGAACGTTTACAGTGGCAGTCGTATCTTGATTGGTTTGGCTCAAGAAGGTTTTGCCCCGCGCTGGTTCAAGAAGACTTCCAAGAAGGGTGTGCCATACTATAGCGTTGCCTTTACAGCAGCCTTCGGTCTTCTCGGTTTCATGAACGTCTCCAATGCTGGTAGCACTGTGTTCAACTGGCTCGTCAACATCGCCGGTGTCGCAGGCTTCATCACTTGGGCATCGTTGAACGGCTGCCATCTTGCTTTCATGCGCGCCTTGAAGGCTCGCGACATCTCCCGCGACACCCTTCCATACAAAGCTATCTGGCAGCCCTACTATTCCTGGTACGGGCTGTTTTTCAACGTTCTCATCATCATCACGCAAGGTTTCACCTCCTTTATTACCAGCTTTAGCGTCACGGATTTCTTCATCGATTACATCAGTCTGATTCTCTTCGTCGTGCTCTATGTTGGACACAAGATCTACTTCCGGACATCTTTTGTCCATCCTCTTGAGGCCGATATTGATACGGGCCGCCAGGAGTTTGAGAACGAAACGTGGGAAACGGAGGCTCCCGCCACCAAGTGGCACCAGAAGCTTGCACGCTCATTCCTGGGCTGAGAGGATCACGACCCTCTGGGCATCTCAGTACAGGCCCGTGGTCAACAACACTTGTGCTTCTTCTTTTTTATTGTCTTGTTTTTAATCCTCCCATATTCACGCCATACCTGTCTTCGGTTGACAGAAAGAGAGAGATTCCTATTACTTCTACATTTGAACCCTTTGGTTAATACATATGGCGCTTAGAAATTGGGTTTCACGCATATACGCATCTGCTGAGACAGCTGTTGCTTGTCGGTATATAAAAGAAAAGAGAGAAAGAGAGCGAGAAAGCGAGACGGACCTGCATGAGTTGATGATGAATGAGGGTCGAATGGGTGTCTTACTCTTTTTATGAGGGGCTTTTGTCTATATCTTTTGGGTTCATGGGTTGAGCCCCTCCTGTACAGTATACATGTTGGGATGTCAGCATTGGCATGGAGTTTGGTAAATGGTTTCTACTGTCGAACGTCTCGTTCGAACTGACTGTGGTCTAACTTTTCTGGAATCGAAAGTTTGCAAATAATCGACGTACTCTTGTTCTGCAGTGTAACTACGACTACATGTTGAATGGTTCGTAGCTTTATTCTCCATATACATGCGGCTACTCTGCAGTCGTAGTACTAGCCGCCGTTGAGCAGATAATTTATACTAGTGAGTAAATGGTTAGTGGCGGTGATTCGGTCAGGGTTAGATACTGCGCAGTGCCAAAAAAAGTAGGACTATTGTAGGGTTCAATCTAGTATTGTTGATCAGCAAGAGCTGTCAAGCTACAAGAGTGTATATACGTCACGAAAGTTTACGGGATTATTTCAGAGAAAATAGAGACCAGTCGGCGCTGTATCCCCGAATCTTCACATGGAACCTACGCCTACACGTGATGGACCAGGAGGCGAACATGAGCCAAGGCCGGATCAGAGGATCTTCTTAACTTGCGTTGTCGGAGGCATCGGTTAAGCCAAAAAGCAAGCATGTGAGAAGGTCAATGTGTCGGCTGGTTGTTGAATATCACAAGACTCGGGTCCGATCATCTGTACAACATTAGTCCACGATTTATACCTCCTAGCTTGTGGAATATCGACTGGCATGTAACAAATTTGTGTATTAAATGCAGGCAGACGTCAATTGAGGGGCGCCGGCATCTGCGGGTTGATTCATGGGGCGTGGGGAGAGACTAGTAGTTGAGTAAGTAATTAATAGGAGTTCAATTAGTCGGTTTTTACTTCTTAGGGGGACTTATGCAGTGCTGTACAAATTATTATTAGTTTTATTACTAGATTATTTATTTTCTTTTTATTTATAGGTTCGACGATGTGAGTGTACTTTGCTTGTACTACTTTTTTATTTAAAGGAACTCCGTACGGTACTTGGGGAGTGTCTGCCCGCATTTTTCTTTTTCGGGGTCCGGAGATATTATACAGCATCGAGTGCGTGCTACTGGGGGAAAGGATCGCCTGCCAGCAAGGTCGGCTACTAGATAGTTATTGACTAGTAAGTATGATATGATTGTCTATCGCAGAACCGAGGTATGGGGTCAACGGGCGGGAAGAGACACCAATTTCGAGCGAAATGCAAACGTGGAGGATTAACCCAAAGAAGCATATGTTCCATCAAATTGAAGATAGATACTTATGCCTGGTACTGGAAATGAAACGGGGAGGCTTCCCCAACAGGGCAAGTGCCGAGGTTCTGCGGACTTGGGGGGGAGGAGGGTTTGGACGTCGCGTGGCGGGAACACGAGCGCTGGCCAGTCAGAGGCCGCCATTTGCGCGCATTCCGTCTCGGAGACCAACAAAAAAAGTAAGGGAAGGAAGGTTCAACTGGATCCCTCCCTTTCCCAACTTGGCACTTCATGCCTCAGGTAGGCAAGTTGCCCTGTTACTACCACCAGCAACTACGAAGTACTAGTAGTGCTCCAAGTGCTCATTCTTCTCTCTTGTCTCGTTGCTGTCCTTGTCCGGCAGTGCCTTTATAGTCTCTCCTTTCAAATTTTGGGATTGATCTCCTCTTCCACTGTCGCCCCTCACCCTCACCGTCGCCTCCGGTCTCTTGTTTCCCTCCTCTTCCGTACTTATCCTGATCCTACCAAACTACTCTCGCCACCTCCATCCGTCGTTCCTAGACAACTCTTCCTGGGAGTTGGGTTCGCTGTCATTGTTCTCTTTTACTAATAGATTTGTAAGTTGATCTTTGTTATCTGTCTCAATCACACTTGCCTTTGTGTTTGTAATACTAACCTTCTCGTCTTCATCAGCTGTAAATTACACCTGTCGCTATGCTATTCTCTCAACAACCTCTCCATGTTACTCGCGCAGATGAGTTGCGACAAAGCCCTCCCAAGGGCACTCCCTACTCGGTTGCCTTGCCTGGGACAGAGAAGCCGGGTCGGAGTAAGGTTTATCGTGCCTGGAATGCGACTGAGGGCGTCCTGAAGTCGCTGGATCCTCAAGTATGCTTGCCTTCCCATGACTTCCGGCGATCAGCAATCGTACCACAATATGCCTTTCCCTGCTGGATATGGGTCTGACTATCTTCACAAATCATTTCTAGATCCTTACTGCACACGATATCTTCGAGTCCACTGCAAACCGATTGCCGAAGAACCACTGCCTAGGTTGGCGTCCGTACAATCCCACGACCAAGACCTATGGTCCATATCAATGGTTGGATTATCAGACAGTACAAAAGCGACGGGCTGCGTTCGGCGCAGGTCTAGTGGAACTACATCACAAGCACGAGTGCAGCCGTCCTGGCCAGTATGGTATTGGTCTGTGGTGTCAGAACCGCCCCGAGTGGCAGATAACTGGTATGCGATCTTGTTACTTCTAGCGTGCGCAACACTAATTCTGGTCGGTTTAGACTTGGCGTGCATGTCGCAAAGCCTGTATTCGGTCTCCATCTACGATGTCCTTGCCCCAGATGCGACAGAATATATCATCAACCACGCGGAGTTGGCCTGCGTTGTGACCTCGCTGCCGCACATTCCGGCCCTGCTCAGGCTGAAGCCCCAATTGCCTAACCTCAAGATCATTGTCAGCTTGGACCCCCTGGACGGCGGTGAAGAGGCTGGTCACTCGAAGCGTGCTTTGCTTGAGTCAATGGCTGCCGGGCAAGATGTCTCCATCTACACCATAGGCCAGGTTGAAGAGTTGGGTGCTTCGGTTGACCGTCCCTGCAAACCTCCAGCCCCCTCTGACACCATTACCATCAACTATACGTCTGGTACTACCGGCCCTCCGAAGGGTGTAGTCCTCGCACATGAGAATGCCGTCGCATCCGCTTCAGGTGCGCTCATTAACAGCATACAAAAAGCAGGCGACACCATTATATCGTATCTGCCGTTGGCTCACATCTATGCTCGGATGTCTGAGCATGCGGCCTTTTGGGCAGGAGCCCGGATTGGGTACTTCCACGGAAACATCTTAGAGCTCGTTGACGATCTCAAGATGCTCAAGCCAACCGGATTCATATCTGTTCCGCGCCTCTACACACGATTCGGAAATGCCATCCGCGCCTCGACTGTTGAGGCTCCTGGCTTTAGAGGTGCACTGTCGAGGCACATCGTGGCCACAAAGACTGCAAACTTAAAGAACCCTGACCTCAGCAAAGCCACAGGGAAGCATGCCTTGTATGATCGGATCTGGGCGAAGAAGGTCGCAGCTGCCATCGGGCTGGACCGTTCTAGAATGCTGGCTTCCGGATCGGCGCCTCTGGACCCTTCACTCCACCAATTCCTCCGAGTTGCTCTTGGTGTCGACGTTGTTCAGGGCTATGGTTTGACTGAGACTTATGCCATGGCATGTGTACAGTCCCTCGCGGACTTGACCGCCGGCCACTGTGGTGGGCTGATTCCTTCTACCGAGGCTTGCTTGGTGTCTCTACCGGATATGGAGTATTCCGTTGATGACAAGCCGTACCCTCGGGGAGAACTCATGTTGCGCGGTGCGAACGTTTTCCGCGAGTATTTCAAGGACCCTGAGGAAACAGCCAAAGCAGTGACCGAGGATGGATGGTTCCGGACCGGTGATGTCTGCAAGATTGATGAGATGGGCCGTATCGTCATCATTGACCGCCGGAAGAATGTTCTGAAGCTGGCACAGGGAGAGTATATCTCTCCGGAACGGCTCGAGGGTGTCTATATGTCGGAAATGGGCTACTTGGCCCAGGGCTATGTCCATGGTGATAGTGTCCAGACGTTCCTGGTGGCTATCTTTGGAGTCCAGCCCGATACCTTCGCTGTATTTGCCAGCAAGGTGCTTGGCCGCACCATTGAGGCTACAGACATCGAGGGCATCAAATCGGTTCTTAACGACACCAAGATCCGTAAAGCTGTATTGAGAGACCTCAGTCGGATTGCCAAGAAGCACAAGCTTGCAGGATATGAGAGAATCAAGAACTGCGCACTGATGATTGACCCGTTCACCATCGAGAACAACCTGCTTACGCCGACGTAAGTAATCACCTCTCCACGTTCCACTTATGGTTATATATACTAATCCGCAATCCTATCAATTAGGCTGAAGCTGAAGCGTCCGCCCACCACAAAGAAGTATCGTCAGGTCTTGGACGATCTCTATGCCGAGGCATTGGCTGAAGAGTCTGCCCCCAAGGCTAAGCTATGAGGGATGGCGCTTTCTTCGCCCATGTGCATTTGTTTTACCACCGGCAGTGTGACATCATCTGTTGGGAACCCCTCCAGACTACATTGTACATATAACCAACTGCCCTCTTGTTTCATGCATATGCTGTCCATATTGTTTTCATTTTGAGGGGCAGGTCCTCGGGGTTGTCCAGGGCGAGAACAGAAGCCACACGCCCAGCCTCGGCCGTGGTTAGGAGTACATATTATATACTATTATTTTTAACATTCTTCGCGGTATATAGGCACTTTGGCTGTCTAGATTAAGCCAGATATATAGTAGATAGCGGCATAAAGCGTAAGTGCTACCCAAAGCTTCAAATATCTAGCATGAAACATTTAGATATTAAATGATACATTAGTGAAATGCATGAATATTCCCAGCTCTAATTTGTACAAAATGACCAAGAATTACTATTAGTTGATGTTGCAAGCTACAGTAAAGGTGGCGCCGTGACTTCACCGTTAGCCGGCCGGCGCTTGGCACTGGCGCTGCCGTTGAGATCATCCATCGGAATAGCTTCACCTCCACCGTCCACCAACAACCTCCGCATTTCTCTGCGGACACTCCCACCATTCAAAACCCATACTGCATTGACCAGCTGCACACATTAGAGTAGCATTCGTCGCCCATCATGCATCTGTCTCTTTTCTCCCTCTTCTCCCTGCTCTCTGCCTCAACACTAGCAACCGCAGCATCCGCCGCCCGTCATCTCACCATCACCATCCCTCCCTCGACCATCCTCCCCAACCCAAACGTCCTCCCAGCCAATACCCACGCGACTCTCACAACCTTCACAAAGAACACAAATGACAACCACCACTTCACTGCACCCCTCTCCCGCTCCGCAACCTTCGACTTCCACCACCTCCCCGCCTCCTCGAAGCCCGAATCCTACCTCCTCGACATCCGCTCCCCGGAGTATGTGTTCGCTCCCCTTCGCGTCGACGTCGCTGCCGATGGCTCTGTCTTGGGTATCTGGGAGACCTTTCGCGGGAACCCGTGGGATAACCGCGGCACGGAGAAGTTCGTCTTCGATGCGAGTGCTCCCCGCGGTGGTAACAGTGGAGCTGAAGAAGCTGTAATGGTTGAGGCGAAGGTTCTGGCCCGGAGAGGCTTTTATGAGGAGAGGTCGAAGTGTATGTTTTCTCTCCCTAGAACTTCCCTCTTAGGTCTTGTTGTGAGCTATAATGGACGAGGACCATGCGTGCGCAGTGGTGTCTGTTCATTGAGTGAATTACTTGGAAGTCATCGAGCGCACGCGCGTAGCCTTCGGACCTTGCTTTTCCATCTCCACGGAACCGGTTTGCTGACTGTGATCGATATCATTGATATAGTCTCCCCCCTGGCTTTGTTTAAGAACCCCATGATCCTGATGGCTTTGGTGGCTCTCGGTTTCACCTTTGGAATGCCCAAGTTGATGGAGAACAGTATGTGCTGTCCAGAGTCACTAGACTCCACTCCTCTTGTCTTCCCTCTCTCTCGCTACATCTTATCTTGTGAACTAGCTCCCTTGCTAACATACACACTTATCAGTGGACCCCGAAATGCGCGCCGAATTCGAGAAGCAGTCTCGCTCTTCTCCCATCGGAGGCGCAACCAGAAGTGCTATGGCTGGTGGCGGGGCTCCCGGGAACTTCGACCTGGCTGGCTGGATGGCCGGTGCTACTCCTAGACCCGGTGCGTCTGGTGTGGAAGCTGCGGCTGCGGTTGAGGGAGCGGCTGCTACGACGGGCCGGGAGGGCGGTGGTGCGTCGCGGAGAAGAGGTTGAAGCGTTGTATGATTACAGTATCGTGTGGGGGTTCAGAGGATGGTATGGTATGCGTGTATATGGATCGCGGTGTGCGCTCTATGGATAGATATCGATGTGTCCATGTATAATAAGCTCCTCGATGGCCCTGTTCCCGAAAGACTCGGCGGGATGAGATTAGAGTTAAAACTAATGGTCTGATTATCGATCAGCTACAGAACGATAGCTCCTTTCATGCATCTTCATAACACATTAGGCTATGGGAAAGTAATACTATCTACATAGAAGACGATGACAATCCGAAAGTAAGCAAGCAAACAAGCAAGCCAGAAGCAACAGAAGAAACCCCAACAGAGAACAAGAGTAGTCAACAACTGCTAACCTCCCAATTGCTCATAACTCATCAATCGCCCCTTCCGGCGTAGCTCACCACACACGACAACACCCCTAGAAATCACCCCCAAAGTCATCACCACCGAAATCCCCTCCATCAAAACCACCACCACCATAATCACCCGGAGGAGGACCATCAAAGTCATGTCCAAGATCCTCAACAGCATCCGCCAACAAAAACCCACCTAGCAGACCACCCCCCACACCTAACGCCGCAGCCCCCGCAGTTCCCATCCCATTGTGTCGCCGCTGCGGCGCCTGCTGCTGTGCATAATAGCCACCCTGTGCCGGATACGAAGGATAACCATACCCGGCCTGCTGTGGAGGAGGATAGCCACCATAACCAGCCTGAGGATACCCATAGGCTGCTTGCTGCGGTGGCCGACTATAACCCATACCACCAGCGCTGCTGCTGCTACCGCCAGAGTGTCTCCCCATTAATTTGCCCAAGAAGCCTCTGCTCCGCTCCTGTTTCGGCGCAGGTGACGTTGATGGTCCCTGGGGGGACTGCACGCGGGAAGAGGAGTTCTCGGCATAGTAATCGGACGCAGCGCCAGATTGGGCCTGTGCTGGTGGTATCGGACTTCTGCGACGAGCCTGGGCTTCTTCTTCAGCTTGTAGCTGAGCTGCTAAGCGGGCATCGCTCTCTAATGTAGAATCCGGCTGGCTGTTGTACGGATTTCTTGAGCCCAAAGGTTTCTTGTCGCCGCCGCCGGCCGCTGAACTAGGTCGGTCACCAGGACCAGAGGCATCGTATGAGGGCGGTGGCCCGCTGGGTGGTCTCTGCGAGTCTTCCTGGTAGGTTGGACCCTCGGGACGTTCCCATTGTGATCTGCCGGTGCGTAGATCTACAAAGAACCTTTGACACTGGGCGTTAGTTTCTTTCAGCTTACAGGATACACATGTATCCGCAACTGGGGTATGATGGCGGAGATGTGAAATAAGGTCTTACCATTGTTTATATCGGTCGTCGAACTGGGCTTTCCATCCTTCAGGTACTGAAGGTGGTGGGGGCCCGGAGGGAGGAGCAAATGACATCTGTGGTGGTGTGACGATCAGATATGCGAAGATGGGGGCCGGGAATGGATCGGCTAAGGCTTGAGCACTGCCAAGACAGTTGAAGTAGCAAGTTTATGATGGCCGAAGAGCTGGGATTCGAGAGAGAGATATATGTAGTACCGACTACAATCTAAGGTACGGATATCGAAGTAAAGCCCACCCAGCAATGCCCCGTGGCGCTGCTCAGCCACGTGATGTAATTGGGCGGCACACCGTTGACATCATTCATCATAGCGGAATGACTTTCCTGCCGCAGGAGTTATGATAGGATCAGCCCTCTCCCAACCGATTTCGCCAGGCTCCAGACTAAATACCGTCAAGGTCTCGGATGTTAGCATCGATAGCACTGCTGGGCGGCCACCAGAAGTCTTCCTCGAGTGCCTCTTCTACCTCCTGTAGGGCCGTTTGAAATCCAGCAAAGTGGATAACATTCGAGCCGGACCTCCATTCCGTATTTTCAACTGAATCGACGACTCCAATATTCGGTGGCATAGAACCTGGTGGTGATACAACATGGTGCAACCTGCGCTTGTATATATCGGGTACATCGCTAGCGGGATCGACGGCATCTGTCTTGGCATATGCAAGAGGCTCTTTAAGCCCATCTCGTGTTCTCTTGTTCTGATTGCGCCTCCGATTCCGAATATGTGCCAGCTTAATCTGCGCCTTAACATCCTGCTGGGACGCTGTATCTAGCCCGATCCTGCAATCCGGGGGCGGGCCATCGAGTTGCCGTAGCTGCACCTCTTCCTTCAGTCGGGTTTGTGCAATTTCATGCTCAGGGGTGTTTTCCGGACGAGCCCAGGCTGCAAAGGGGCCATCATAATATGGTCCTTGTCCAACTCCGTATGTTGGGTGCCTGATGAGCTTCCCTGACTCTAGAAGTTCCGCGCCCGCCTTAATCCCTGATTCGGGATTAGATACTTGCCCATCTGGACACATCTGCAGTTGGGGTTGTAATGAAGGCTTGAATTCCATAGTAATGCCCTCATTGCTTGTAAACGGGCCGGGGGATAGAAGATGGACACCCCCAGCAGCATCGCCGACCAGCAGGTTGGACTTATCTTTGGAAAAGGCACCGCACATAATTTCCTCGTCAAATTTGGCCGTATCCTGGACGAGCACATCTTCCGGGGCTCTAAGGATATCCCATCTCTTCAAGACGCCGTCAGAGGACCCAGTGTAGAATTCGTCAATCCTATCTCCCCATAGAGACAAACGAACGCCAACATCAGCTTGTTCCCTGCTGATTGTTTCATCTATCTGATTCAAAGGCTCTCCGTGTTGGAGCTTGTGAAGAATTCGGTCTGGGCGCCGATGGTCCCAAACATAGGTAATTCCATCAGTGCAGCTGGCTGTCACGTAACCTGGGTTCATAGGGCAAATATGGGCGTCGTTGATATCTAGCGCCGGACACTCAAACTCCATGGTGCAGACTTTTGATGATAAGGGCTGATACATTCGGACTAAGGATCTGGTATCCTTGTAGGCCTTGTTGACAGGGCCATGACCTATCGATGTTGCTGCTGCAAAGATTGGCAAGGTGGGGTGCCATTTAATGTCAAACATGTTCTGAGAGTTTGGGGAAAATTGCATAGGTGATATTGATGCCTCGCCTACTCGCCACCCTGCCAACAGACCTGTCTGCAGTGTACCATCACCCTTTTCGCACAACCCGGCAAGCAGAATGTTTCCGGTTTCCTTAATGGTCCCCCATGCTAAAGAAGTAGGTACCAGTTCTCTGTCCTTTCTGGATCGCGCCCTAGGTAGCTCTAGGAGAGTGTGGGTTGACTCTGCTAATGACCAAAGTCCTATTGAACGAGTGCCTGTTGCGAGCAAATTCCGCTCATAAAGGGAGCGAGCCATAACTTCCACCTTAGAGTCATGCTGAAGAGTCTTGCGGCACGAGATATCTCGACCGGAAGCATTCCATATCTTCACTGTATTATCGTAGCTAGCAGTAAAGAGTGCATCTTCCCACCATTCGATGGAAGTAACGCTCATCCAGAGACGAGGGTCATGGAGAGTCCGGCTTGCGGCGGTCCTCCCTGGGGGCCGAAAAACATAGTGGTCTGGTAATTCAGTCAACTCATTGTTGACAATGTCACCAACAACTAGATTATTATTTCGGTTATATTCCATATTATGCTCGTCGCATTGTGCTGTCGCGCCGGCAGCAAATTTTGTGCCATCAGGTGCCCAAGCCAGGACAATCACATCATTCGAGGCATCTTTCCAAGTTTTCGCAAGCTTAAACCCTTTGTTGGTATTTGAGTGAAGCTGTCGTTTTACACGAAGCCCTAGCTCACGGCGCTGCAAGATTTTATTCAAAGACCCGCTTATCTCTGCGCATCGAGACCCCGATGCAGTAGCCTCTATGACACAGGGGTTGGAAGGAAGGCAGCCTCTTTTTGCATCAGCAATAAAGGCGTCTATCTCAGTAGGTCCACGTCGGCTGAGCACCAGAGCGGAGGCTAGAACCCTGGACAACTCCCAGAGCTGAATCCCAGAGAAGAGCAATGGACTATCTTGAGACGTGTCCTGGACTAACCCCAGAATTTTCCCTACCAGGCGTCTGGCTTGCCGTTTTTGCTTGTCTTTTGAGTTAGATGCCATCGCTTCTCGAAGCCATTTATGACTATCATCTATTCCATCGATTTCCTCGGTAGAGATGATCTGCGAAAGCTCACATACCCACCTAATCTTCTTCGAGGCCCTCTGCGAGATATCACAAATATGAGCAGCCTGGATAAGCTGGTCCGAAAGCGCGGTGTCCATCTCGTCGTGTCGCTGAAAGCCGCAAAAGCAAAACAAGTCCATGATGGCTGCCATTTCGGTTCTGTCAAAGTCAATATGGAGAATCTCATCCGCCAGAGGCGGCTTGTTCTGATACTTCAAGGCGTACTCTCCTGGGCTACGCAATGATGAATAGCAAGCACGACCCGATAACCTCAAATCATCTAAACTTTTAAGCGGCGACTTGATAATCTGGACATGAGGTGAAGAATAGATGACACGAGCCTTTTCAATTCGATCACGAATACATGACGAAGTATTTGGTTGAGCTGCAATGCTAGAGAACCTGGAACGTCGGGATGTGGTAGGAGACGGCCTGGCAGGGCTTTCGCTGACATCTTCATCGGAGCCGAAACCCAAATAGTTGGTCTTGTCGTAATAGTTGTTTGGCCCAGTCCTTGCACGCCGAGAGCGCCGGTTACTCGACATCTCACGCCCATCTCCTGGTGACGATGCAGTATCCGGCCTATCCTGTTCGGAAAAGTACAAGGGGTCCGGTGTTTGCGGTGTGCTGGATGTGACGCGGTTCTCGCCAGTGATCGCTGGTGATGATCTAGGTTCAAAGCGCGTCTTAGGCGTCTTAGGCGGCCTACCGCGCTTCTTGACGCTTTCCCGAATATCTTCCCCGGTCCTAGAGCATTCTCCTGGGGCAGTATGTTGATCGCCGCGACTTGCCGCTGGGGACCCTCGTGTTTGGTGGGAGGAGTTTCTTATAAACTGTGAAAGGAGGAACTGAGCTTCCTCAATAACAGAAAGTTCTTCGGATTCCTCCGGCGTGTGTATACGGGACATTGTGCGCGGATAACTTGTCTCCCACTAGGTATCCCAAACCAAGACAACTGAGCTTGCCGGCGCATGTCGACCAATAGCTCAGTGAATGAGTGCCAGCACTGGAAGTGAATCAGACTGAGAGGTGATTTCGAGGAGGGTCTGCTGTAGCGCTAATATAAAAGCTCAAGTCAGCGCCGGTGAATGGCTTTAATTTAACTCAAATTGGATTTTTGACAGCCTGGCGGGGAATAAACACTATATGAGGGGAAGAATTAGAACTCTACCTAATATGAATACATAAGTCCAGCAAGGGTTCACACAGCTTCGAATAGTCATCACTCGTCCAGACCTCACTTGGGCCTCGCCTGAGCCTCAATGTTGAGGGCAGCAGCAGAACAATACAATATATCCTTCGCGTCGACTGCGACGCGCGAACGCGCTGGATAAAGTGCTCTATATTCTTGTAAAAGGCAGGCGGTCGGGTCTCATGGATCAGGCGCACTAGGGCCAATCATATGTAATCGAGCCGCGGCTCCTTATCGAGTACGTAGTACTGGTAACTAGTACTTAGCTTCATGCCAAGCTAGTAGAAGTCTCCAAGTAGTACTCCGTAGTGTGTTCTATTTTCCTCTACTGGTGCTACTCTTTAGCGCCTTTACACGGTTGACGGAACTTTTCACTGAAAGAGGTGTCTACAGCCACTACGGCGGGATGCCATGATCACCTATACATCATCACCGAATCAATCCTTTGGTGCGATAGCAAAAGGATCAGGCCCAATCAGAGAAAGGCTTAGTACTATATGAATGCAAGCCTAAATATATCAATTTTTAGGATCGCCCAAGAAACAGTCATCGTGCCGAATTTGAATAAGAGAACATATATGTACAGAATATATTCAGATTAAAGACAGAAATACAGGGGCCCAAAGGTACACGATGAGGGGATCAATCAGGAGGTCTTTCTGGGCCCAAATAATATTAATGATTTGGCAAGGGTGCTTTAAAAGGTTTCTTCCAAATCACATGTTTCACTTGGAAATTGCCCGGTTCCTCTTTCGAAGAGAGACCATAAGGTCATAAAGAACATCCTTGAACCCAAACAAGAACGCTGCAGTAATGGCGCTCTGTGTGACCTTTGGCCCAATGCCTGTCATGTGATGTTAGCATAAGTTTGCATGGCTCCCTCATTGTCAGTACTATACCTCTGTAAAGGCCCACAAAACCCTCTTCCTTGACGATTCTCTTCAGGCTCCCGTTCAGACTCTCCTTAGGACCATCTTTACTAGCAACATGCATGCGACTCTTCACCGTAATATAGGGATAGGTGATCGAAGTTGCCAGTATCTTACCAAGCGCCCCAAGATAGAACGCATCCTTTGGCGTCATACGCCTACGACGCTCCACAATATTCTTCAGCTGCTCAAAAATTGTGTACTGTAGAATCGGGTTAATAACCAGAATGAGGGCTGGCAAAACACCAGCAAAGAGAGCCTTGGGCCCCTCTTGCCGGAGCAAGTCTAACAATGTACTAATTGTAGATGCCCGCGACTTCTTGGGGGGAGTCCCTGGCAATGTTTCTTGCTCCGACTCAGACTTGCGGGCTGTCATTCTAGTGTTTACAACCCATATAGGGTTTGTGATCAGGACCGTCGCACTCCCGGCGATAGCGCCCGCGATCATTGACTCCGCCGTCGTGAGCTTCTTTGAGGACCGCCCCGCCCGCGCAGCCGCCTTTTCGAAAGCCGAACGCGTCCATTCGTACCAATAGTAGTAGACGAAGTTCGTGACGCTGATGCCAAAGAGCGCAGATTCAAGACCGGAATAGAGCCCAGAAACCCCCTCTCGTTGAATGATGCGGCGTATTGCGTCGTACGTCGTGGAATGGGCACGCTTGGACTCGACTTGCGCTCTCGTGGAAAGGGTTATCAGGGGATAACTACAACATATGGAATGTCAACGCTGATTTCATTAACAGGAGGTGTTGCCGCACGTCAAGAGCATTGACAGTATACCGCCTCCAGCGCCCGCCAATGCATGTGCCATGTTGTCACTTTGCTGGACCGCAGCAGACACTGCAACGGCCTTCTTTTGCCCTTCAATGTTAGACTGAGACATGATCGATAACGCGGTGATTTTCTTTGTCTATCGGAATAGGTGCGTCAAGAAAGCGGATCGATATTATACTATGATGGTGCACGCGAATCGGGTATCGGTACCTCGGATCCTTATAGATGGGTTACGGATTGCTTTGACAAGTGAGTGTGAAAAAGACGGCAGATGGAGAACTAGTGATATTTCAGTAATTCTGCCCGAGAAGGTCGCAAGGAATGACTGCAAGAAAGGAGGAAAGGGGTAGATATGTAGGCCTTGGGACGAATGGGGTAGGGACTATGTCGATGTCGGGTGCGAGAAAGGCTCGGCTCTGGATTGGGGGTGATGGTTTACATGACGTTTACCGAAGCCTGTGCCTCGGCTGATGGGTGACCCTCATCAGCTGATCGGATCAACGCTCATGCCATATGAAATTTGGCTAACTTCCTGAGGCTTTTCCATGCTCCTAGATGGTTACTGGGGAGAAAAACACAATTATGAACTAAGGAGGTGACATTTGCCGGTAAATAGCAGATCCACTTCACGTGTTTCATCTACCGTTGTAATATCCATCCTCCACATTTCTCTCTTGACCCTTTGATACAACAACAGGTGATTGACATTAGAGTCCGTTTCTTTGCTTCTAAGCGATTCGTGTCAGTATCTACCATCTGAACAATAATTACATGTAGGTTCACAGCCTGGTCAGAATTGAAGAGTGTGGGAGAGACTACCTAGGCATGAAAGCATCACGAACTGCTAGGAAGGGTATGTATGGCATGTGACATTCCTGCGCAGAGCACGTATAGTCTATGAAAACCTCGCACATGGAATATAGCCTACTCGCGACAAACAACCCTTGTTCAATTTTCAATATCAATACAATTGTAGACCCGAAACATAGTTGCTATTAGTGAAAGAGCAGAGTGCTAACAATGACTCTACATATCCTACAACTTATATTTGACCATACCGTTAGAGTCCAAGTAAATGAAGGCGGAAAAGCGAGTATGTTCTGATTTTGATTAGCCACAAACCATATTCACTTAAGTATCATTAACTTCTGCATTAATTGACCCAGACATAATCACGCAACGGATCCAACTAACTAAGAAAAACTCAACGGATCAGATAGAAAATGCTTCGAGTTAGAGAAAGGCCACGAGCAAGACAATAGCGACGGGAAAGATAGGGAAGGGGAAGATAGATGACCGAGAGGTGAAAAGGGAAAACCTGAGGACACAGAAAATTATCCATAGTGCACCATGTATAAAGACGAAACGAAAGCCTTCTAAAGCATGAAGAAGAAAACTACTCCCGGTGACCATTGCTAGCATAGAACATTTAAGATAATGCTAGCATTCGAGGAAGACTGCCCGGCAGCAGGGTGCAGTAGGTAGCCTCCCTCGTGGCTCCTCTTCTTTAATCACCAAATTTTCACCCCGTCTCGAGATGGCGTAATGCAACGCGGGATCAGGATCATCAATAGTCTAGCAGCAGCCGCCCGCGGAGCCGGATTGAACGCCCTGGCCTTGGCCAACCTGCACAGTTGGCTTGTTGTTAACAGTCGCGGTGCCCATGCGTTCCTTGATCTGTCTCGCCATTGTCAAGAAAGCCTGCTCTACATTCGAAGCGTTCTTTGCCGAGGTCTCCAAGAACGGGATTCCAAGGCTGTCGGCGAATTCCTAAACAAACACATTGTGTCAATCACCCCCTCTGCCAGAACATGCAAGAGTCCCACATAAAGGCATGGCCACATACCTTAGCCACTGTGTATTCAACGACCTTCTTGTCTTCCATATCGCTCTTGTTTCCGACAAGGAGCTTGTTGACGCCTTCAGTGGCGTAGCGATCAATCTCTTGAAGCCACTGCTTCACATTGTTGAAAGAGTCCATGTCGGTAACATCGTAGACGACACAGATTCCATGAGCACCACGGTAGTAAGAAGAAGTGATTGTCCGGAAACGTTCCTGGCCCGCAGTATCCCACTAGAGCGCCCGTTAGTAAAGCCGGGTGACCGACTGTTGTGAATGGGGGCTGCCTTACGATCTGGAGTTTCACCGTCTTTCCATCCAGCTCGATGGTACGAATTTTCTGCATTCAAAAACGTTAGATGGGATTCTATGACGCAGCCCACTGCTAGCAGCTATGATGAGAAGTGAAAGGCCAGATACGTACGAAGTCAACTCCGATGGTGGAGATGTAGCTCTCCGTGTAGGTATCATCGGCAAAACGGAGGAGCAAGCACGACTTTCCAACACCAGAGTCTCCGATGAGGAGCAGCTTGAAGAGATAATCGTATCTAGCCAAACTATTAGCATATCGATCGATCGATACGCACGAAGAGGGCCGCGCTGAGCCAAATAAGGCGTGGGGGAAACGGAGGATCGTGGGGGGCTCTAATAGGGGTTTAAATTAGCACGGGAACCAAGAGATAAAGAAGATATGGATGAAAGACGTAGTGCCATCATGACAAGGGGGGCATCGCCGGAACCTGATGAGATGTAGGCCAAATATGGGCGATCAAGGGCACTTACCACTCGGGATTCATGATGGGGCACTTGGACGGTACGTCAGCGTATGCGAAATCTAGAGAGTTATTTGATGGAAAGGTGGAGAGCTGAAGTTGCAGAAGAGAAGTATTAGGCGTGGCAACAAGCCGATGTAGTAAACGATACTTGAGTGTCTACTTAATGAGATGACCGAGCGGTCTCTTGAAATGGCGGTTGCGTTGCTGACTGCAGGAGAGCAGGCGAGCCCAACGTGCAGGTTCCAATACTGGCGCTAGTCCGTCTCCTGCCTAGTGTGGACCTCCTGGGTGGGAATGACCGTTTCACGCTCGCCCGCCCCAAACCCATGACCCAAGCCAGGCTAGTGCGCCAATCAAGACACACTAACAACCACATGCAAATGAACAGATTCTAGGGACTGGCCTATCTAGGAGATGGTACTTACAGTAGTCCGACTTAAGTTGCACAATGTGCACTCCGGTTCTAAACAGGTTTAGGTGGCTCGGCACCACCTTTTTTCTTCAGGTAACATAACTGTGGTCCTTCCGATAGAACAATGCAAAATAAGAGGGTACTCATTTTCGTCTGCTAGCTATATATATATACTACGTACTACCAAGTGCCGGTCCCTCTCGTCACATGTGCACGTCAGGGAGGCATCGAAAATAAGTGCTCCACCTTCACTTTCCTAAGACGAAAGACAGTCCTTCACGTATCAAGTCAGGTACAAGTCAGAAGTTCGAGTTCTACAGAACTCCAGTACTCAGATGATTCACAGAATGGCAGGTGTTTTAGATCACAAGGCACCATTTTCACCTGTTGGTACGAACAGATCATCAAAACCATTTACCTTCGCCCCCAGTGGATCAAGCGTAGCCCTGTGCCTGAAGCCATTCCAAGACCTGCTTCTCATCTCTTTCCTTGTAGCGTGCATTCGTCCGGATGCTATCAGCAACGATTACCAGGGCGCGATCGTACGCACCGGTGTCCTTCTCCCGGAAAAACGAAGCAATATCGGCTGCAATATCGTGGTCTGCGAATTTGGAGAGCCCCATGCGCACAAATCGCTCGAAAACAACATTGTTCGCTGACAAACGAGCTTCAACTGCCGCCCAGTTCTCTTTCATATATTTCCATAGAAGGTGGCGAGTTAAGGGATTCGTAGCCATTGAAGTCGCGCCATTATGAACATCCTGGATTGCAACCTTGTCTGAGAAGACAAAGTCCATATAATCCTTTACCAGCTCAGCATCTTTAGTACGCCCAAGGGCTCCCAGGCAAATCTCCTTGCCGTCAACGGAGTCGGTTTTGAGATACTCCTGCTTTACGGCGTTGTATTCTTCACGACCGCCCTCCGAGATTACGATACTAAAGATCACTGAGCGTAGGTTGGTATGCACAGCGTTCTTATCGTTGCCTGTTTTCCAAAGCTCGAATCGTCGTTTGGCCTCGGGTATTATGCTAGCAAAAAGTTAGACCCTTGATTTAAAGCAATAAACGTCTCGCGATTGACATACTCTTTGTGGCCCGCACGGCCAGCCATCCCAATTAGAAGCTTACGAAGCTGGACAGTGAGATAGTCATCCTCCGCGCTGAATTCCCAACCGATTTCATTAGCGGCAGGGGATGAGAGCTCGAGGGCAAACCTTCTGAGTCCCGCTGCTACCGACTCATTCTGCGCGAACACAGAGCGTAAGTTCGCAACGGTGGAAGAGATTTGGGACCAGACCCTGTGGAAGTCGTTAAGAACCAAGCATGGAGGTATAGGGATTGCCGAATCTTGTGAAGGGTTAGGATGTCATAGTTAGATACTCACAGATAATTCTTTTCGCCCTTAAACCCCTCTAAGAGAGCCAATAGAGCAGCAGTGGATCCGTCCCCGGAAACAGCCAGGGCAGCGGCATCGCCAATCAATCCGATCTTATCCTCGGTGCTCAGCAGTTCCAGTGATTGAGCGAGTTTCGCCAGCCGATCGGCAGGGTAATTGGTTCGGTAAAAGCCGGACAGGTCTTTGTTCAGCTTGTAAAAGGAATCTTTTCCGAGTTCCCCAATTGTAGCTTCCTTGGAAACGAGAGCACCGGGCTTTACGTCGGCCATCTTAGGTCCTGATTTGACACCAAGGGGAATCCACCAGGCCGTCTCATCTTCCTCGGGCTTAACATCACCCGTCGACAAGAAGCGGTTCTGACGAACATTGAGCTGACCGGCTTGCTCGGTTACGGTGACAACAGGAAAGCCAATCTTGCGAATCCATGGATCCTTCATGATGCAGTCAGAACAGTGATCCGGTGTTAAAAAAAGAGAAAGGCAGCTCACCATAAAGCTAGTAACATCCTGATTGGACGCTTCGCTGAGAGCGCTCCAAAGATCATTAGTGGTAGCATTACCTGAATTTGTCAGTAATTAGCAACCCCGATCCCCTATAGATCTTCGATGTGTACTTGCCATATGCATGGGCTTTGAGATAAGTGGCTACTCCCCGCAGAAATGTTTCCCGTCCAAGATGATCGCTTAGCATCCGGATGACCGAGCTTCCCTTGAGGTAGCTGATGTGATCGAAAATTTGATCGACTTCAAGAGCGTTCCTCACAGGAACCTCAATCGGGTGGGAAGCTCGTAATGAATCGAGTTGAAATGCTTGTTGGACACTCTCAGCCTATGCAAAAGTTAATAATCTGCCACACAAGGCTGTATTTACCTCGAGAATTGCGTACAACAAACTGAGACCATATGTTCCACTCTGTTCGCGAGAAAATTGTCAGCTGCATTTGGTCTGTAAGTGCCCGGGTCCATTGAATACCTGGATAGAAATGATCCACAGCAAGCCAGCCAACCCATGTTGCAAAGCCTTCGTTGAGCCACAACTCATTCCACCAATCCATCGTTACGAGATTCCCGAACCATTGGTGCGCCAATTCTAGGATTATCACTCGTTAAAAGAGAAATGCTGCTCAAATTGCAAGGGAAGACAAACCGTGCGCGACGACATATGCAATACGATTCTTGTATCTGGTGTCTGACTTGCCCTCGTCGAAAAGTACAGCAGTCGTTCGGTAGGTAACAAGTCCCCAGTTCTCCATGGCGCCCATAGCCTGGAGCATTTATCGTTAGTGGTTTCTATTCGTGAAACAGAATCGGTTTCCGTACAAACTCGTGGACAGCAAGGAGATCCGCCTTAGGCAACGGATACTCGATCTCAAAGATTTCAGAGAAGTAATCGACCGTACGATGGGCACACTCCAAAGCAAAGCGAGCCTGCTCCTTGAGGCCCTTGGTCGTATACACGCGAACGGGGATGCTCTTGCCTTGATATTTGCGCTGAGTCATAGCCTCAACATATTCAAAGTCACCGACTGCCCATGCCAGAAGCTAAATAGAAGATGTCAAGAGTTAGTGTGGAGTATTATTATCAAGGGACGGTGCAATCTGACGTAAGTACTCATGACCGGTGTAGTTTCGAAAGAGACCATCTTGAGTTCTGGCCTACTGCCGCTCCTCTCAGACTTAATAGGCATGTTGCTAAGGGCTGTTTGTCCTCGGGGAACCTCAATCTCAAAGTCGAATGTGGCCTTCAGATTCGGTTCATCGAAGCAAGGGAATGCCCTACGAGCATCACAAGATTCGAATTGGGTACTAAGCATGTAATAGGAATCGCCCTCCTTGGGTGTATCTTCGGTCGGATCCACCACCGGCTTATACTTAGAGCGAGAAAATCCAGCCATGGCATTGTTCATAATACCGGTGAAATTGATTGACAGGACAACATCTGCGGGGTGGATTTCCTCTGCAAAGGTAAAAGTGACCCTTTCCGACTTGGTATCGTATGCGATGTTAGACGCCTTTGCCAGCTTGGTCCCTAAGTGCAGCCGATATGTCAAACCCAACATTCGTTCATGGAAATGAATGGGATCAGGAACAATTGGGATGTGGCTCTGTCACTAACCGTCCGTTCCAAAAACTTCAGCATCCTGGACTTCGATTTCCTTGGAGTTCAACACGATCGATTTTGTAGGACGGGTGACCTTGGAATCGATTTTGACGGTACCCTTATAACCCCATGAGCCGCCGAACTGAAGGTCAAACAGAGACACATTGTAATGAACAGGCTTGACCCTGCCACCGATTGTTAGAGGCACGCCAACAGATAGGTGCACGATACTCAGCTGTTGGCGATCGGTAACTTACACGTCCGGGAGGATATCCCTGTCCTTGGATGCCATTGCGCGGAATTCAGATGAACAGCGCCTTACAAAAACGGGTGAGGATAGAGCAAGATTGACCCTACGGATAGACTGTAGGTATGTCGAGTAGGGCAAGCCGGAAAGGGAGCGGGAGCGTGACGAAGAGATGGAGGAGGGGCAAAAAGAGGTGGAGGATGAGGGGCAGAGGTGGGAAAGTGGTCGGACCGGACGATAAATTGGAGAATGACCACGGACTGCATGAGCATTCATACCACCACGTCGGATTGACGCGATGCATCTTCTTCCCCACATTTTTGGGTCTGAGATTTTAGGATGGGGCCAAGTCTGCCTACCTACGGTTACTCTCGGAGCAGCTCATCAATTTTTGCAGTACACCGTCGTAGCAATACGAAGTGTGGCTAATTAAAACTTCAGGTTACGAAGCAGGCTTTGTCTGATCACAATGGAGCTCAGAGTAGATTAGAAAGTGTTAAGTATCCAATGTGTACCTAGCCAGGAAAGCTAGTATAGAATTCGAACGAGTAGAAAAGGTAGTTTAAGGAAAATGATAATGAAGGTCAAAAGCCTAAGAAAAAAAAGGATGAGAACAGCAACTGCTTGATACCTCAGCTAGTAAGTACCCTTGCTTCATGAGGAAAGGTAGGGAACGGAGCTCCGGCGGAGCTCGGACCCTCCCTGCTCGAACCGAATCCAACAGAGTGGATACATGCCTAGGTAGACCTTTTCCATCCAACTTTCATGACGCCCGACGCACTTCTGGGTTGACGCACTCGCCTCTCATTCCGTTTCAGTGCAAGTATGGTCGATTCCGATGAAGAGTATACAGGAGAAATCTCTGAGGATGAAGATGAAAGCAATATCTTATCAGGATCTCGTGGAGATACTGCGGGCGCATCCCGTTCGAAGAGGAGAAAGCACCGTGGAGGCGCAGAATGGGAAGTCTCGAGAACATGGGAAACCTTAGTTGAAGGTGCCGACGGCACAATCAGCTCTACAGTCGAAGGGCTTCTTGAAGCTGGGAAAAGGAAAAGGTAGGTTGTACTTTTAGGCCGGGTAGCTCTCAGTCCTGATTAACGGTTCGAGCTGAGTTTTCATGTCTTCGCGCTTGCAGGCTCCTCAGAGATACGACTCCCTTACAACGGGGTATAATCCGCCATCTCATTCTGATCATAGATCTGTCACAATCCATGACCGAGAAAGATCTCCGACCCACACGCTATCTATTGTCCCTACGGTATGCACAAGAGTTTGTGAGGGAGTTTTTCGAGCAAAATCCCATTTCTCAACTCGGCGTTCTTGGCCTCAAAGATGGATTGGCGGTTAGAGTCAGTGATATGAGCGGAAACCCTACGGAGCATATCAGTGCCATCCAATCATTGCGAGACCAGGATCCGAAGGGTCTTCCTAGTTTGCAGAATGGCTTCGAAATGGCTCGTGGTGCTTTGTTGTATGTCTTCTCCGCGCTTGGTGCCGTATACACTAGATGATAAGAACGGGCTAACCTATCTTGCAACAGCCATACCCCAAGCCATGGCACCCGTGAGATTTTCGTCATATTTGGCTCCCTCCTTTCCTCCGATCCCGGTGATATTCACCAAACGATAACTACGCTCATCAACGACAAAATTCGTGTTGGAATCGTGGGCCTTGCCGCCCAAGTGGCCATCTGCCGCGAAATTTGTGGCAAGACTAACGGGGGTGATGATACCACATACGGTGTAGCACTCAATGAACAGCATTTCCGTGACCTTGTGATGAATGTGACAACACCGCCAGCCACCTACTCTCAGAAGCAGTCCACAAGCTCTCTCTTGATGATGGGTTTTCCATCACGAACAGTCGAGGCTTACCCTTCACTTTGTGCTTGCCATTCCAAGCCTTCTCGTGGGGGATATCTGTGCTCACGGTGTAACAGTAAGGTTTGTGGTCTCCCTGCCGAGTGTCCTTCCTGCGGTCTTACTTTGATCCTTTCAACCCATCTTGCTCGGTCATATCACCATCTGTTTCCCCTTATGAATTGGGTGGAAGTTTCGTGGCAACATGCCTCGCGCAGTAGTGTCTGTTTCGCATGTGGGATCTCCTTTCCACCAGTACCACCCAAGGAGCAGTGGCATATTTCAGAGGGACAGGCAAAGGGAATGAGCGTAAGCAGCCGGTATGAATGTACTGTGTGCAAAAACCATTTCTGCATTGACTGTGACCTTTTCGCTCATGAGGTTGTGCACAACTGCCCTGGCTGCCAAAGCAAGGTGATAATACCTACGAGTTCCGAGCCCTCTCAGAACCACGAAGCTCTAGACAGGATGGATACCTCTGCATGATCATATGGTTGATTGCGAATAATAAATCAATAGAATGGCCGTGGGGCTCACTTTCTCGGTCGGATATGTAGATGCCCCCGCCATCGCTCTCGCTAGCGCGACCCAGTCTATTATCAGTCGAGCTGTCAAACTAACCGCCAGTCGAACAAAGTAACATAAAACCAGAGGCGGGCTATCATACCTCATAATAATTATCAATTGAAATGTCGGCGGATCAGGCCATCAAATTCTCTTAGACTATATTTCACCTGACCGAAAGGGTAACCTCTAAAATCTAAGTCCGAGCCCTATGGAACGGCTCGTCGATATACTGGAGTCGCGAACACGAAACAGCAAAATGGCGATCTATAACTTGCCCCAGACGCTTCAATCCGTTCGCATCCGACTTCTCCGAACTGATTGATAAGGAGTTTGTGATAGAAATAATTCCATGAAACGAATTAACATTGGATAAGAAAGATCAGCCATGCTGCTAACGCCGATAGGCTCGAGTCTTAGCGGGAACCCCGCCAAAGAACCGAAGTACAAAGTATATAGGCTACGTCACAGCCTAGCTAAGCTAAGTATCCAAACTAGTTCCTAATCTTCAATCTACGTGGACCTCGGTTAATCTTGGGCCCGAGCACCCTTACAACGGACTTAACCACTGGCATCATTCACGAGGAGAGTGGACAACCGAGAAACAGCAACGGATTGCAAAGTAGAAGCGGTCGCTCTGTCTCAAAGTCACCGAGAGAATCTGCGCTTTCGCTTCGAGTGCCCAAGGCCGCGCAACATATTCTTAAAAGCTACGTGAGCCCTCAAATAAGCCCATCGGGTAGTTTGAGCCTGCAGCAGTTTGTCACGAGATGGCGCAGCTTCAGCCCTCGGAGATTGAGCTATTTGGAAGATTGAGCTCATATCCCTTCAGCACGGATCGTGAATTTGCAGTTGGGCTTTCCATCATCCTAGGCCACCCGGAATCACCTGCGTCGGAAGAGGAAATCAATCGCAATGATGACCTTACCCTACAAGCTAAATGCTTCTACTTCTCAAGGTATACATACGATCTGTATCCACCCGTGAACCCCGGTATTGTAGCATATGCATATGCCACTGTATGATTATATACAAATACTGGTACTGATCTTTGTCACCATGCCTTTTTCGTTCTCAGGAAAGAAAAGCTCATGCCCCCACTCGAGTTCTCAACATACAAAGCATGGATAGAATCAGCATCAAAATCCAAGTCCGCCGACCTTTCATCACCAAGCCCAACAGTGAACGTTCCAAATTCTAAAGAGGAGCCTGCATATCCTTCATCCTTCGCTCATATAGTGGAACTCATCACAACCGGTCAACCCATTCCTGGAATCCAGCAAATTCCAGACACCGTCTTGACAGGCCATGACACTCCAAGCGAGAAGTCAGAAAGGCGGAAACCATGGGAAAAAGGAACAGCTAGTCAATGACGGGATTTTAGCTGCTCAGCGTTACACCAAGTGACTGCAATCGCCCGGGATCTGGGGATCTACGTTCTCAATTAGTGGGCACTGGAGAAGTCCAGGGTTGTGGTCAGCATGCAAATATTATTATTCCTGCAAGCCGCAGAGTTGTGAAGGATAACAAGCATCGGACAAATGAGTGGTTGGTATGATACATCAGTTCATAATAAGAATATAATCCCGACAAGTAGGTGGGTTAGTAGTGTTCGCTTTCGTAAACCAAGCTCCTGACCTGCACAAGCAACTCATAACTGTAATTGTCGACCCATATAGAATCTCCATCAACTTCAATAAAAAAGGTTATAGTTTCAGAGCCCATTTTGATGCTACTCGCTTGCTCGAATTTTCCCTTCATATTTCGTCTCCATTTTTCTTCTTTCTTTCATTCGGGTGTATAAAGAGAGGAGGCATCTTGGGGGGCATAAGCCGTTTAGCTCCTGCACAATGACTAGAATAGCGCGTATGAAGAAATATGCTAGACAACCTCACGTTGTCGAAACACGCTTCGAGATTCCGGATACCGGTATATGGGGTGCTCGATGCCTACCTGGGTCGACTTGAAACCGATACCTTTTGTGAATAAACAAGCATATGGCTAGAAGACGAAGCGGAAAGGCACTCCCTCGAAAACTTTCAGCGAAATGGTGGATAATTAGGACTCCATTGGTTCCCTCGGCTGAAACGGCCTCCATGCTGTCCGGCAATCGGGAACCTGTCCTCATTGAAATTACCATAGCGACTGATTGGCATACCAGAACCTGGTCCTGGGCGAGTTGCATGGGAGGGATTGCAGCAGAGCATGGCCACACGTGAACCAAACTTGGAACCCCGGAGAGATACCATGTGTTTCCTTCGTAGATACTCGATTAGGCCTGTGCAATGTCATAGTGAGGGAAAGGACGGTACCGAATATGGCTGGCAACCAGCTCACGCTGATGTGGTGCAGCATTCATCAAGATCCATTGGATTAGGTAGTTTCCATACTGGTCCCCAGCAACTATATTTTATCAGAAACCTTGAGTTCAAGCTGAGAAGGGTACTTTCAGACTTACTGTCAATCAGAGGCATTCTAGGACGGTCAGTTCGTCCGGTGCAAACTCGAGCAAGGTAGCGGTCCAAAAACTCGGTACCCCCTATCTTCAAACATTTCTCTACAATTTTGGAGGCGAACTGGTCCATGCTATAATCCACAGACCAAAGAATAATGTGCTCTATTGCACGACTCTTATCCTGAGGAGCACCATGCTCACAGATATGCTGGATACACCAGTTTCCGAATTGACCGTGTGCAAGCACATCAATTTTCGCTAGCACTTCTTCGATTGCTGGACGCTGGAAACTTTGTCAGTATATATTTCATCGTACAAATTATGGAACTTCCATTTAGGATATGTCAGAGTTTCAGGTTTTGGGGAGCTGCAATGGTTGAGAGGACGACAAGACGAGAGGCACAGTTTTTTGAATAGAATTGATCGTGGTAGGAATTGACGTATGAGAAACAAAGTACCTTCTCATCCTCGACGCAGTTTTCGAAGATATTCTGGACTACCAAGCTCCCTGTCTCACCCAAGGCGACTTCATGCCACATCCCTCGCAGTGCTTCGTTGACTTTGGTCATTATCTGGGGTGGCTCCCCACTCCAACGTAATTCGAAGAGTTTTTGCCAGACATGACAGGCATACCGGTGAATGACAGTTTCTGGAATTCTGCGTAGAAGCTCGTGGACCATAACTGCCTTATGTTCTTCGGGAACACAATCGAACGCTTTCTGTATGACGTGACAGCCAAAGGGATCCATACTGAGGCTTAACGTGTTTCCCTTGATCGCATTAGCGATTGACACGACTTGCTCTGGAGTCCCGTGTTCGAAGCATCGTTGCACTAGAAAGTTGCCAAACCGATTGACCATCAGGGGATAGGCTTGGTGTACTATGGCCTCTATGATATCATATTTCTGCTCTGTGGTCCCTACCTTCAGCTTCTGCTGCAGAAATATTGACGCTTGTTGATCATTGTTGCAAACAATTTTGTCAACGATATATTTCCAATCACAAGAGACATTCCTGTCGAGGAGCCGTCGGTAGTTGATTGGCTCGAGGGGAGAGATGTATGTTTGATGGGTGTTTCCTCCCGCCTGGCAACATAAGCGTGGCACTATAACAAATAAATTCGAGCTCCTACTCACCACAGAAGTTGACCATTGCGTTGCACTAGGATTGGAAGCTGTGAACTCAGTCGCCGTGGGTGAAAGTGGTGTTCCAACCGGCCGCTGATGGTATTGAGGGATGGGAAACAGACCAACATGTTGATAGGTGTTATTGGATCTATTCACAGGAGATCTAGGATCATGTGGGTCCGAAGAGCCAGGGGTAAATGCACTCCAAGCAGAGCTTTGTGGCTGAAAATAAGGTCCATTGCGGCTGGCTTGAGTGATCGAACGGCGAGGCCCAAGGCCGGGTCCTTCGAGAAACCTCACCTGTTCTTCCGGGAGTTTGGTGTCGAGGGTGTAACCCCCACCGGAGGGCCCTGAAAACACACGATGGGATCGTAAAGCATCGTGTCCAGGTACACTGGTATTTGTGCCTGAGTTACCCCAAAACCGGTTCGAATCTCCGCCAACTGAAGTAGCACTTGGCAAAGATATAGGCTCGCCATATGATCTTTCGATAATGGGGGCACTAAGAGCCGTACTGCACACTTGCTGCGTGGGAGTATTCCAGTATCCCCGAGACCTATTGTAAGCCCCCGCGGAAAGCGCATCAGACATATCTGACTGCGAATCGTCCTGAGCATTCCATCCATCTTGAAACTGGCTATATGCCGGGTTTGATGAATTCAGGGCGTTCTGGAGATTACTTATCGTTTGTTCCGTGATGTCTCCATTGAAATCGGTTTCAGAGGGTGGCCCAAGTGCCTGGTCTAAGGTATGTTTAATCACGCGTGTCTGGGCCAGTTCCTGCTCCTGGAGGGCGATTTTAGAATTAGCGACAAGCAATTCTTGCTTTAAACGTAGTACCTCGCACATATCGGCCGATACGTTGTCTGCTTTGCCAAAATCGACCGAGTGCGAGACGTCCCTAAACCGCTGAATACTTGACGTTTTAATTAGCCCTGAGTCGTCTCCTGAAATAATTCTGTGGTTGGGAAATGTGTGATTGGATGTTCTAAGCAAATCCTGCTTGTCTGGCAAAGCCGCAATGAAATCTTGATCTACAGGATACTTCGGGGTTGTCGACTGCGGCTTGGGCGAGAGCTTTGCTAGAAGTCTTTCCATCTCGGAGTGCCCACAGAAATTGAAATTGCTTGAATGATCTAGCTTCTGCTTCTAGGGTTGTGAGTGCCTTGAATTTCTTGAGGTTTCTGGCGTATCTGACCTTATTCGACGGGATGTCATGTTTGTCAACCCCAGAGATCTGGCAATCTCCAGCTTTGGAGGATACTGTACAATCTGAAGGGCTGGTGGAAACATTCAAATGCTTAAGGCCCTGGGACAATGTAGTAAGCTATTTAGAGGAGAACAAGTCTGTGGCTGCTCTAGGTTGCTTTCATTCAGTTACTTACTGACGATTCACGTTCAACATAAACTGCGTGTGTCGTAGCACTCGTGCCACTGTCAATGATACCCTCTTCACACTGCCTGCGTTCCGGATTGAGGGGGGCATCGGAGTGTGAAGACATCTTGGATAGTTACTTGAGAGCACTGCCACAGAAGTCACAGTTTGCAAAGGTCGGCAAACACAGGGTTTGACAGGAAAATAGTCGAAAGCACACTGGTGAGCAAATACCGCGAGCTGTACGGAATCCAAATCCTCCACAATAGTTGAAGGCTGAATATGAAGGAGATAGCTAACAAATGACTGTAAGTGGGGAGGTAGGTTCAATTAACTGTGGGACAATTCAGAAGGCAAATGGCAGTATCTGAAGACAGGGAGATCAAGGCACGAATCTCGAACCAAACGCGTTACAAGGCCTGCGTCAAGGATCTGCAATCAAGGAAAGAGCGATGAAGACACCATTGCGGGGGTCAGCAAGACAGGATAAAATTGAGAGCTCGAAGCCCTGCTCGAGAATCCATCTCCGAGGCACGTTGTGGCGCAATTGTCTTCTATTCCTGAAGGACATTTGTTGTTGGAATATAATCTTGCTAAGAGTCAGTGACTCCCCTTATTTCTTAACCTAAACAGTGCTAAGAGTAATTGAGGGAACTGCTTTTCGCTTTGTTTATGCTCTTGAACAATACTACGGCTGAAGATTGCTTTGGTAATTTGTATCATTAGACCATGACAAGCAAGAATGATCCGCAGTGACGGTTCCAGTCCATGTGTACAGTAGCAGCGAATTCCCAAGATATGCAGTGGTGAAGTTTGTTGATCAGAGAAGAAGAAAGAACAAGGGTGTCCTGAGCGGCTGTCCCTCTAGTGGGGAGGCCTAGATTAATTGTTCCAGACCTCTTTCTACCTCCAAATGTGTCTAGTAGGAAAGATAGACCCTCTCAAAACATCACACTGTGATCTCATGTTGTATTATATTTCTTTGAATGTGTGTTGAGATTTTTGGGGAGTAAAACTTAGCCAATAAGCTACGCAATCCATACCAAACTTGAATGTCGAAAATCATCTACTGTCCAGCTCAAATTAATTATATTCTCTGTTGCTCTAGTAGTAATAGTTTTGATCTTCCCGAATCTGTCAAAATCCACGGCAATCGACGGCATAGAGCGTTGGTGAAATTTAAAGATATCTCATGCTGACCAAGATTGACCCTGATAGCTAAAGACTTACTGACCATGTATACACAAGTATATCGATATAGAGTGATTACATGTTATCTCTATACTACTCAACTTTCAAGTCAGAGCATTGAAACTGAGAGAAAAAAATATATATGGCATGGTGTGAAACTACCAAAATGTCTTCAAACGGAACAAACTCTTATTCATCTATCATAAAAATCTAAGCGAGCTGTTATACTGCAGCCATCATTCAATGAGAAGAAATAGAGATAAGAGAGTCACAGGTGTCCACGAGGAAATTTTGTAGCCGGAAGCCTGAAGACACCGGCAGCACAAACCATCTTTGTTAGGGCCTGCGAAGGCCACGATCCTACCTCTTCCCAGCTCTTTCCATTGAGTGGCGAGATAAAGACCTGTGATACTGTCTGCAATGAAGTGATGTATAGGTCCGCAGAACTACAATCTCCCATAAGATCCCAGAGTATTAGTAACTAATTATAACATTCGTCAGCGTCAGGCAATGCAGTAAGGGATCAAAGATGAGGCAGTTGTTTCGAAGGATAATCAGATAGAGAAGAAAAACAAAAAGACAGTCCCCATATTTTTCCAGCGTCTGCCATGGTTGGGAAAAGTGAAGTCCGCCTGGTTGTGATTACTTCGGGAGGCTGATTACCGAAATATAAGGGCATACTAATTAGCAACAGTCAATTATTTATGCAAAGATTGGCGCTAGTTAGTAAACTATACATGTTTATGTAACGAGATCCCTGCCTATTCCGTCTTATCTCTATCGGACGGAGAGACCTACTAAACCAGTACAAGTAAGTTCCGGCTTGCCTACTCCGTTACAACCTTAGTAAACAGGTGTATGTAACATCCCGCCCGAGCAGCGTGTTCCGAATACTCAATGTTAGTTCGTCCATAGGGATTCGTCATCTAGAAAACTGCAAACGTTACCTTGCAGCGCCGACGTACTGCTGCTACCTACTACCCGCCTAAATATCCTGACGTACCCTGAATCACGCAAGCTCGAAAACATCGCGTTCGGCTTCCATTATCGAGCCCCAAAAAGCCGATCTGTGCTTGTTACCGCTCAAGCCGACTGGAGGGCTCAACTGTCGTTCTCAATCGCCATACAAGAATTGACTTCAAATGGTAAAGCTGCATTGCATTTACATACTTGGAACCGGCTAACAGGACTTGAGCGATTGTCTAGGTCGTCGAAATTGAGAAATTAGGACATGACCACAACGACTGTGACCGGCACTGGGAGACGCTCTTCTGTACGACTGCCAGACCTTCAAGTACCGGCGACGTCAACAACCTCGCAACAAATGACCAGTCCAATAGACAAGTTCCCGCCTTTCATTGATGAAGTACCAGAGACTACGACCGAGCCAAGAGAATCGCATTCCAATTCGATTAGATATGCGGCGACAGATCGCTGGGAGCCACGGAAGCAAGCACAATTTCCACGGGATAACAGGCATCCTACATTGAATTCGAAAAGAAGATCAAGGAAAAGTATCAGCGAGGCGATTAGCACAATTAGAACACGCAATGGCAGCGTTAGCGCCAATGCACAAGAGTTGGCCGAGGCCCTTAAAGCCCCGGTATCATACAAGCTGATAGTAAGATTATTGGACTTTCATGGATTGTTTCCTACCCTGTTGCTTACCCGGGTTAGGTTCTCTGCCTCATATGGTACATGACCTCCGCCCTGACGAATACCTCATCGAAGTCCATCTTAAATGCCCTTCCGAAACCAATAACGCTTACGATCGTACAATTTGCCTTCGTAGCATTCTGGTGCTTGGTCTTGACCTATTTGGCAACAGTGCTACCCTGGCTGAAAGATAGCATACCGGCCCTCAGGAACGGGATCCGTCCCCCGTCCCGTGATGTTGTCCTGACAGCTTTGCCTTTGGCAGTGTTCCAGTTAGCTGGCCATATACTTAGCTCTATGGCTACCTCTCAGATTCCCGTCTCACTCGTCCACACAATCAAGGGACTCTCACCTCTTTTCACAGTCTTGGCGTATCGGATCTTCTTCCGAATTCGATATGCCAAAGCAACATATCTTTCTCTTGTCCCATTGACTTTGGGAGTGATGCTCGCTTGCTCTACAGGCTTTTCGACAAACTTCTTCGGCATACTATGTGCGTTAGTAGCTGCATTGGTCTTCGTCTCGCAGAACATATTTTCGAAGAAGCTGTTCAATGAAGCGTCTCGTGCAGAGTCAGAGGCAGAACCGTCCAGCCGGCGAAAACTGGATAAGTTGAACTTGCTTTACTATTGCTCTGGATTAGCCTTCATTCTCACACTACCTATCTGGTTCATAAGTGAAGGATATCCTTTGATCTCCGATATCATACAGGATGGCGCCGTCTCGTTGTCGGGAAATAGAGGCTCGCTGGATCATGGCGCTCTCTTCCTCGAATTCGTATTCAACGGGGTGTCGCACTTCGCACAGAATATACTGGCGTTTGTCCTCTTATCTATGATATCACCAGTTTCTTACTCCGTCGCATCTTTGGTGAAAAGAGTTTTCGTGATTGTCGTTGCGATCATTTGGTTTGGAAGCTCGACGACATCCGTTCAAGGCTTTGGAATCGCTCTTACCTTTATTGGACTCTACCTCTACGATCGCAATAGCCATGATGACCTAGCGGATCAGAGAGCAAATGCTGACCACTTTCGCACAAGGGAAACCATTCTTCCCCTGAATGTCCAGACGGCAGGCAAAGCATGGGACTCAAATGGCTATGGCGCCTCGGCAAACAAGGTCTCTCACTATCACTCACCAGATGGCCCTGCCTCACATACCACAAGTACGCCTAAGAAAGATGATGATGACCAGGGCCGTATCCGTCCCAGAGGAGGCAGTAGCTCCCGGGTGTGGCTACCTCCAGGCACAAAGCAAGAGACCACTTGGAAGCCGAATGATTCCTAGTTCTCCCCTGTCTTAGTTGTCATTCTCAGTCTTTGTTCTATAATATCCGCTATCTAGTTATATTTTGAGATTCGAATGTAGCATATTACCATGGTCTTTAGTGGCCTAGTATTGTTATTGTAGCCAACGTCTTCTTTGAGTTGTCTAAAGCAGTACATGCCTAGGAACATATTTTTGACATTTTTTTTTTCCCCCAGCTCGCATATATCGGCCTCATGGTGGGAACGTCGGGCTATAATGCCGGATAAATGGTACCCAGGGAAAGTGTCAAGCGACTCATACGTGTTATAATGAATTGATCGAGTCGGTTGGGTGGTAATTACTATTGCAACACTCAGCTTACAAGATCGGGCTTCTTAATGTATGGCATTCACGGTAGAACTTCAATATCAAGCTGCACTTGTCGGCTCCGCACCACATGTTTTACCGGAAACAAGAAAATAGAAGCTTGCGAAGAACAGACCCGGAAAGTACCGATACATCATCCACTACGCAGCATAATAGGTTGACCTGAATATTGGTGCATTTGTTATTCTTCAATTCTCTTGACTGAATACGGTAATAGATGTAGCGACTGTCGATAAAGAACTATACCCTCATCAGGTGTTCCTTGATGAAAAACCCTAAGGAGCTCCAGCTCAGTGCATCTTCGTCTTGGGTCATGTTGCAGAGGAGGAAGGGAAATGAAGAACCCTGCCACCTACAATAAATCATGCCCGTGAATGAGTTATGGAGAGAAAGAGAAAAGAGGAAGGAAATAGCGTCGGAAGGGCTTATTAAGAAAGAAAAGGGAGTAGTGCGGACTAAATAATCCTCCGAATAGCCGAACCAATCCGCAGGCGGCAATTTGCGAGTGACGCCCCGGCTCATGGCTGGCAGAATCCGAACCAAGCCAAAAGTGCACCTCCCATCAAGAATCTCCCAGCACTGTAGACTTCCACCGGCGCCTTCAGATAACGTCCATTGCGCTCGCTGCTCAAGTCTACTCTTATCCTCTCACATTTGTTTCTATTCACAGTATGCGGCCGCAGTTATCTCGTGCGGCCGCCCGGCTCGTCCGGGTTCCCAAGGTCAACTACCCCAGGACTTTCGCGACGACAATCCCTCGCTCCGCTGAGGTTGAACTCACAATTGGTAAGCTATATGCTTCTTGCTGAGCTTACGTAGCTTTGCTAACATCTCTCTCTATGTAGATGGGAAGAAAGTTTCAGTCGAAGGTGAATTCGTGTCTCAATCCATGGCTTCTCAGCATCTTGCTTACATGGCTTAAAGCTGGCTCCGCTCTCATTCAGGCTTGCGAGAAGGCAGGCGCCACGGTTCCCAGGTATATTGACCCAAATCATTAGTACTGTAGAGGATAGCTAACAACAATTGACAGATACTGCTATCATGAGTATGGTCCAAATTGCCGAATATCATTGTTTTGAGTACTAATCGAACCACAGGAAGCTGTTGATTGCAGGAAACTGTATGTCTATGTTTGTCACCGGGTTATTGAAAAGGTCACTGATCGTTTTTCTTTATAGGCCGTATGTGTCTAGTCGAGGTCGAACGGGCGCCTAAGCCTGTGGCATCATGTGCTTGGCCTGTGCAGCCGGGCATGAATGTTAAGACGAATTCACCACTTGTACACAAAGCTAGGGAGGGTGTTATGGAATTTCTCTTGGCCAACCACCCTCTTGATTGTCCGGTTTGTGATCAGGGAGGCGAGTGTGATCTGCAAGACCAGTCAATGAGATACGGCGCCGACCGTGGGCGTTTCCATGAAGTTGGTGGCAAGCGCGCGGTTGAGGACAAGAACATTGGGCCCCTTGTCAAGACGTCTATGAACAGATGCATTCACTGCACTCGGTGTGTTCGGTTTATGAACGATGTTGCCGGTGCCCCCGAACTGGGAACCACTGGCAGAGGAAACGACATGCAAATCGGTACTTATTTGGAGAAGAACCTTGATTCGGAACTTTCAGGCAACGTCATTGATCTTTGCCCTGTTGGTGCTCTCACCTCAAAGCCCTATGCTTTCCGTGCTCGTCCTTGGGAGTTGAAACATACAGAATCCATTGACGTGCATGACGCTTTGGGCTCGAACATCCGGATCGATAGCCGAGGCATGGAAGTCATGCGTGTAATCCCCAGACTCAACGACGACATTAACGAGGAATGGATCAACGACAAATCTCGGTTCGCGTGTGACGGTCTGAAGACTCAGCGACTTACAACACCCTTGATTCGTCGAGAGGGCAAGTTCGTTCCGGCTACTTGGGAGCAGGCCCTGAGCGAGATCTCCTCCGCCCAGCAAAACTTGCAGCTGAAAGAGAACGAGTTCAAGGCTATCGCAGGACATCTTGTGGATGCGGAGTCGCTTGTTGCCATGAAAGACTTGGCTAACAAGCTTGGATCCGATAACCTCGCTCTGGACCAGCCGGGTGGCAGCTCGCCTGTTGCCCACGGTGTTGACGTTCGTTCGAACTACCTTTTCAACTCCAAGGTCTACGGAATCGAAGAGGCTGATGCTATCCTTCTTGTTGCTACCAACCCTCGTCATGAGGCCTCTGTCCTCAATGCACGCATCCGTAAGCAATACCTGCGCTCTGACCTGGAGATTGGTCTTGTCGGAGAATCATTCGATAGCACTTTCGAATTCGAGCATCTTGGATCCGATGTCAACGCTCTTAAGGCTGCCCTTTCGGGACAGTTTGGAGAGAAGCTCGCTTCTGCTAAACGTCCCATGATCATCGTTGGTAGTGCTGCGGCTGAACATCAAGACGCGAAGGCGATTTTCGAAACAGTCGGCAGCTTTGTTGAGAAGCATGGCAACAACTTCAACACCCCTGAATGGCAAGGCTACAACGTTCTCCAGCGTGCGGCATCTCGTGCTGCAGCCTACGAGGTTGGCTTTACCACACCGTCTCCCGAAATCTCCCAGACCAAGCCTAAGATGGTTTGGCTGCTGGGTGCTGATGAGGTCACTACGAGTGAAATTCCAAGCGATGCGTTCGTTGTCTACCAAGGACACCATGGTGACCGAGGTGCCCAACTTGCTGATGTTGTCTTGCCTGGCGCAGCCTACACTGAGAAGTCTGGCACCTACATCAACACTGAGGGCCGTGTTCAAGTTACCCGGGCAGCGACTTCGTTGCCTGGTGCGGCTCGTGACGACTGGAAGATTATTCGCGCCACCAGCGAGTTTCTCAACGTTCCACTGCCTTACGATGATATCGAAGCTCTCCGCGATCGCATGGAAGAGATCAGCCCTGTGATGCGTCGATATGACGTCGTTGAGTCCACCTCCGTGGGCTCCCTTAGCAAGATTCAGTTGGTTGATCAGAACAAGGGCACACAGCCAACTGGAGCGCCTTTCAAGCGTGTTATTGAAGACTTCTACTTCACTGACTCCATCTCTCGAAGGTATGTAGAAGTAATACCCTTAAACTTTTTCTGTGAGGAAGCATCTCTGACCATGTTATAGCTCACCTACGATGGCCCGCTGCTCAGCAGCCAAGGCTACGGGTAACCCCGAAACTAACTTCATGGCTGCTGGAGAGATGTCGCCCCAGGCTTTGTATGGCTAAGATTACCACTTGTAGTTCTGATCACCCGGTTTATCCTTATTATAGGTCTAGGCGTTGTCGTTGTAACACCTAAACATCATTTTTTTTCCTTTGTTCATTCCTCCCAGTAATGCGTACTGCTATTGGTTTCTCCCTTACAGTGAAGTTTCCTGAGATAGGAGAGGATGCGTCACTAGTGGTGATATTGTATATAAGTTCAAAATAAGCTTGAGAGGCTTGACGAAGTCCATTTCATGGATACATTGGTTAGATCAAGTCAGAGAAACTACAGAATGTGGATTATTAAAGGAATGGGTACATATTGATTGATGCACTAATATTCCCTCTGCTATGCCTTCATAGCTCATCATCGTCTGTCTCGCCTGCAGTTTCTTCGGCATTGCCTTGTTGATGCTGTAGATCTTGTACTGTGTCTTTTCTTGATCCTGACCCTCTGGTGAATGGAAGTTCCCTGCGGGGTGGCGGTGACTGTTTTTGCATCCTAGATGGATGATAGGCTTCTTCCGTTTTATTTTGTTCACTTACCCCCTGGTCGATGCCGAACGCTGTAGGTGAATCTTCATCAGTAGTATCATCTACATCCTCCAATGGCTGGGGAGTAGAATTCGGTTCATCGTCCGTATCTGAGATTCTTCCTGGGCTGGTTTGAGGCTTGGTCTGATCCAAGCTCTCCGAGCCATTATCGCTTTCAGCATCGTCATCGCTCGTTTCCACAATAGGACGTTTCGCATGCTTCTTGCTCCCGACACGGGCCCCGACTTTTGATGAGGCAGCCTGATGTTTACCAGCTATATTTTAATAATCCCAGGATCAGCTATTGTTGAGTCGACTCGAACATGTGACCTTACCATCGTCCACATCAATTTTCGCCGAAGCCAACAAGCGTTGTTGATTGCGAATTTTGAGCTTTTTCTGATTTAGAACTTGCGTAAAGTTCGTCATAAGCTGTTCCTCATGGCGGCGTTTTGCAGAGATGAAGTCTTCAATTTGCTTATTGAGCTGCTCGATAGTGCTGTCGGCTTCGTGATAGTGCCGTTGCAAGTTTAATAACTGCTGCTCAAGCATATCAGCTCTGGCAACGGCGACGGCAGACCAGTCAAAGAGCTGGATAGCTTGTTCATCATCCTGTTTTAACGCTATAGAACCGAGTCTTTGCTGTGGATCATCAGCACCACATCTGATACTTTTTGGTGGTTGGAATTACAGTTATAGTTTGGACCCTCCGGCGAATAGTGAGGACCAGTTGATTGCCCTGCCTACCCTGTCCCTTGATGCTAGCTGATAATTCAATACCAAATAGCAGATCTGAATTATCTGTATTGATCTCTAGCTGACCCAAGGCACGCAGTAGGATAAGAACCCAGTCCTCATCGGTTCCCTGGTAACTCTTTGAACGATGAGTCTGCGCACGAGCCTGTCGCACTATTCTGACTTAGTATATCACAATATTTGCAGAAACAACAGACAAAAGGGACAGTATTATGGACACCCCATACCGACCCCATTATACGGAAATTC